CAGACTATCAATATGCCCGGATGCCGTGTCCACAATTTCCTGTTCCTTGTAGCTCAAAGCAACATTTGACGTCTTTACCATCCATTCGTGTCCCTGTCCTGTTGTCCATTCGCATAAACATCTTAGGTAAGTTGGTCACTTTCCTCATTACACCCTTTGAGTATTAAATTTTTCAAGCCGTCCTTCCTCAATGTGTTCCAGAAATCTCAAGCAGATACATACAGTGAAAAGCTTGAAATTTGACGACACGAAATATATTATATTTAAACGATTGTGGTTCTTTCGGATAAAATAAGTTAGAGCGGAACACGAAAAAGAGACAGACGATGAAGACAAGCCCCAGACCTACCTGATGCAAAACATAACATCGCCTCAGTTACGTTTTTTTCTGTGATAAGCAAGGAAAAGAAAAATGGTTTAATTGTATGCAGCTTACACAGGATAAGACTTCCTTAACCCTCTGCTGAGACGAATGAAACAGAGGTTGAAGGCAGGGGTAAACTATTTATAAAAAGATATATCTTTTTTTTAAGGTTGTACTGGAAGCAAATCTCAAGAGTAATTTGATCTGTAAAGGAGCCACCCCCCGAGTCTGTTGATATGTGCTTTATTTAGAGAATGATTCAGCTATTGCCAATGTACTATTAAGGAATATTTAAGACGTTAATACAATATGTATATATATATATATTTCGAGAGGGAGAGAGAGAGAGAGATGTAAAAGGAAGGTTGAAAACAGCCGCGCCTAAAAGGTATAGACAACAAAAATGTGCTCAATACAAAATTCAAAATCAAATAAGTAGGCTAAAATGCCAACAAACCTCGCAATCCGGGTTTCGACTGTGAGTGGGTCCTTCCACTTGCCTGAGGAAAACTTACAGTCGAAACCAGAGTTGCGAAGTTGGTTGTCATTTTTTAGCCTTTTCTTAGCTCTATCTCTGATATTGAGCGCTTTCTAATAAGTACCGCGCATATAATATATAAATAATTATATATATATATATATATATATATATATATATATATATACACACACACTTTTCACACATATATATATAACCAATATGGTTATATTAGCTTTTAAAAAGGTATTTCGTACATATGCCCTTAGAAAAGGCATGAATCCATCCTTTCTCTTCCATCTCCAGCCATGGGTTAAATATTAGCGTAGAGTAAATAGCCTTGGATAGCAACTAGTCAAGAACTACTCTTGATTCAAAAACTTTGGGGGCGGCTATGAGAAATCATTCCACTATAATTCACAACAAGTCGTAGCAATTCAAAAGGAATTTGTGAAGAGCCATGTTCGTCTAGATCCTGAAAGGACATGGCATAGAAAAAGGCGTATTTGTTTTAACATTTCTTCAGTAACGCTTTCGTTTTCATATAAATGGTTGTTTGGTTTAAGTGCGTTATTTTTTTTTCTGTCTCTACATGTCATCGCTCTTCGAACAATCATTGATCATTTTCAAGAACATGGATTGAAGAGATATGTCTTTGAATTTCAAGAAACTTTAATGTATTTGGTTTTCTTTTCTTTCTTTTTTACATGATATTTGATGTTTAGGACGTTTTAGAATTGACAAAAATGATTCTTGAAAGTACTAAGATCCGAACAAGAAAAAAATTACTAAAAATATTTGTTTAAACCTTGTCGTTTAGCATTTAGTATAAGAGTGTCTTTAAACATCCTAATTTTTTTTTTCATATTATATTTGTCATTACTTAAGATCATAAATAATATAAATGAAGTCTATAACCAAAAATCACTTTTTTATTCATAACAAATAAATAATACTGAATAAATTTAATGAACTGGGGACTAAACTTGCTATTTAGATAACTCAGTTATAATAGCTAATCAATCTGCTTCCCATTTACACCATCTGCATATCCCACTTTTTTTTTAAGGAAAGCGAGAGCGAAAGAGAAAGAGCAAGAGAGAGAGAGAGAGAGAGAGAAAAGAGAAAGATCGAAAGAGAGAGAGAGAGAGAAAGCAAGAGAGAGAGAGAGAAGGAAATTTTTTTTTAGTTAAATTTGATCAAATACAGATTGAGCCGGCCGGCCGGGTGAACAGCGTCTTATCGGTAGTACCGACCATATTATTATTATGCTTTCTAATCAGTCCCTTACCGGGTAATTCAAAGTAGTATGCAATTTTCACAAATTCTTATGTTAAGTGATAACATAGAATGTTTATATTTGCATTCCATTGACAATACTCCTGATAATACTCATGAGTAGATGAACAGTTCCACAACAGTGCAATGTTTTGAATTTCGTGTAAACAAGTTTTTTTTTTCTTTTACAATTCACCCCAAGCAAGGCAATAAAGCCACTAAGACACAAGAAGAGGCTACTGGGATTGAAAGAGAATGAGAAGACTTTAGAAAAAACTGAAAACTCAATCCTAAACAGCAAACAAGGGATTAGAACCACGACTCCTATTCAAAAAACCGGAGGGAGTGTAAACCGGGCGATAGATTTCCAAGAATTTTGTTAATTTCTTGTCTATACCTCTTTTTATGTACTCACAGTTCCAATTCTTATCGGTATGGCAGTATTTCTAAGCTGGCGCCTTTTTTTTTTCATTTCAGGATTCTTATATTTTTACTTATTGTCATTTGGCTTCTGATGCCAAAGTTCGTCTTATATGCCGACGAAAATGCGTGTTGATTGAATTTCTTCAGATAAAAGTGCCAAACATTAGGTTTGTTCAATTTTATTTTTTTTATTCCTACTTACAATGCACATCATTACATAGACGAACAAAAAAAAAGGATCCTGTCGGCAAAGAAGGACAATTCAAAAATTTCAGCTGATTTCTATTTCAATCCTCCAAATAATTCTAACATCACACGTTCTTTCTTACATATTACATTTATTTCCACCGGCGCTAAATAAATAGCGTTGCCATTTACCGAATTCAGTTGCCCCTACCCTGTCGACATCCCGATCTCTTACCGGTTCCTGTATAGCCAAGTGGGTCACATTCTTAAAACAATATGGCAGGAACAGAGAAAACAGAAGAAACGGTGGCGCTGGTGGAGGAGAGGAGAAAGAAGAGATTTAAAAAAAAAGAAAAAAAAGAGACCCTACAAAATAACAAAGACTTTACGGGGAAGAGACGGCTTTACAAAAGGGAAGACAATTTTTAAGAGAAAGAGGGACATAGAGTTAGTATTAGAGAGAGGTAGAGGGGGAGGCTTCTTTGACCCATTTATTTCGGAATACGGATGGATTTATAGACAATAATACCGAGATTTTATGTCAGCTAAAAATGCAATAGAAAATGAATGAATAAGCCAGAAGTCAATACCAATGAATTGTTTTCTGAAATCTTGAGGTAGAGTATTCGAGTTATTCCATTCATTTTCAGGACTATTGTTTTCACGTTGGTTGTATTTTTTATCTAACACTACTTCAGGTTCTCTTTTTCACACAACATAAAAGTACCTCGTCGTAGTATCAGGAAGCTAGTCTTGCCTATCATTTCAGCTGGTAGTGAATTAGATTCTCACCGAAGGTTCGTTAATAGTCACCTTATGCTAAAACTAAATTTGCATTATGCGGGGCGGTTGAAAAGTTCAACCACTTCCCAAAATCTGAGTAGAGAGCCTTTTTTGCAACATGATTTGCTCCTGACTTGTGAGTAGAGACAGCCCTTTGCAACATGCTGTGCTCCTGACTTGTGAGTAGAGACAGCCCTTTGCAACATGATGTGCTCCTGACTTGTGAGTAGAGACAGTCCTTTGCAACATGATGTGCTCCTGACTTGTGAGTAGAGACAGCCCTTTGCAACATGATGTGCTCCTGACTTGTGAGTAGAGACAGCTCTTTGCAACATCCTATAATTTATTTTTTCAGGGTTGGAGAGGAGGCACGTAACATATTTTTATAATTTGTTGCCATATTTCCATATTTAAACCTAAAACTTAATTTTCGCTTTTCCGATTCCTCTCTGTATTTTTTTTTCTTCATTCAATGATTCAGTAAGTATCTGTTTCGGCGCCCTGATATCGATGAAGCTGCTCAACATTCATTTCGTGACCCAACAGGATGTACAGTTTGGTGCTAAGTACACTATACACACTATTGTTACACAGCAGCTTGATTAAAGGATGGACTGAAGAGTTGTTCAGAATCAGAAGAATTTTGCAGTCTTCGGCCTGTAGATATGATTTTGTACGGATTACCAGTGATCTCTATCTACAATACACCTGCAATAGAGCAGTCATCCTCTTACGGCGAGCCATTTTGCTGGAAAGCAGACAACTCGCATGGAGAGAACGGTGTCTTGTTGAATCAAGAAATTTACGAACAACAACACAATGTTTCAAAATATCCGAAGCTGTAAATTCCATTTTTCTGCGTGCACGCCACTTTCCGAATTTTTTTTTAAACAGTGATTATCAAACAAGCCATAAGTATCATAAGTGAAAAATAAATAATAGAAGATGGACTGATAACCATTGCAAACACACTGAATCAATCTTAGTACCAATATAATGTGTTGTGTTGGTAATATTAAAGATTTCACGACAACTCCCCCAAAGTGATCGATTCTATTGTTATATATTTATACCAGTACCTACGGATCTAACAATGATTATATTGGAATAAAAAAAATATGCTATCCAATGTAAGCAGAAAATATTGGCATATCTTTAGTATAGGCAGTATTCAGCTTTTATTTTTCAAAATCAAGGAATTGAAAAGATTTTTTTTTTTTTTTAATACGCACTCTTGTCTTCTGTCGGTGTTTTTGAGAAGCAAGGAAAATATTGTTAACACAAAAAATAAATAAATAAATAAATAAAAAATATAAAATTATGAATTTGTAAATATGTACCAAATAACTTCCATGAGTACTACGGGTTATTATTGATCGCTAAAAAAGGAAAAATAAGACAGAATTCTTTTGCATTTGACAGCAAATATTAAAAACGAGGTTTCCCAGCGTGCCAAGGCAAAAACAAGAATCAAAACTTTCAAAAATGTTAAGAAAGAGAGAGAGAAAGTGAGAAAGAAAGAGAAATAGAGAAAGAAAGAAAGAAAGAGAAATAGAGAAAGAAAGAAAGAAAGAGAGAGAGAAAGAAAGAAAGAAAGAGAGAGAAAGAAAGAAAGAAAGAAAGAGAAAGAAAGAAAGAAAGAAAGAAAGAAAGAAAGAAAGAAAGAAAGAAAGAAAGAGAAAGAGAGAAAGAAAGAGAGAAAGAAAGAAAGAAAGAGAGAAAGAAAGAAAGAAAGAGAGGGAGAAGGGGAGAGAGAGAGAGGGAGAAGGAAATAAAAAAAGAGAGAAAACTATGTTGCTGTTGAGTGATCCACACTAAGAGAGTTGGCCATCTTCGCTCGGAATGCCGGTCACAGAGAGAATGCTCGCAATAACTACTTACTTACTAAAGCGCACACACGTGACCGATTTCCCAAAAAACTCCTTTATTGCACATTCCACGCATAATTCTCCTCTCTTTACGAACACTATAAAATGTGGGTAATTGACAATCAGGTACGGCCGACCTACTGCATAACGTTTAATTGTAAAACATTGTGAAACATGTATAATGATTGACGCTTAAAAAAATAAAAAAACAAAAACACAGGTATGTAAAGACAGCCAGACAGAGATAATGGAAAAGAAAAACAATGAAAGGAAGGACCAAACTGAGACAGATATGATGCAAAGACCAAGATAGAGAGAACGAGAACGGGCTGGGACAGAAAAGATGAATAAACAGACTGACAGAAGAAACAGATGAATCATATAAAAAAAACTTGTTTCGCGTTAAACGTTACTTCAAAATTATGTCAAGCAATTAAATATATTTTTTCAAGATTTCTTTCATCAGTCCATCCCCCAAATTGTGAAATACACAAACGACAAAAATCCACACACAGCCTCTCTTTCTCTCAAAATAAATAATACAAGTAAAAAAAAAAAAAAAACAAAAAAAAAAAAACAATTATCAGTAGTGGAAGTCAGATGAAAATAAATTAGGAATGGCAAACAAGAGACAACATTGACCAAATTCCTACCAGTGACCTCTCAACTCAAAAGCTAAAAGCGTTTCTGAATTTGGTATCCAGAGGAATATTTGGTACCAGCGCCTGCTAGAGATAATAGGGATAGAGGAATCGGAAGAATCTCATTTACGCACACACACAGTAAGAGGTGAGGGAGGGGTGAAAATTCTCGACCCAACCCACTTCCTAAAATCTGAGCAAATGACCAAATCGGATTCGGTTAGGAATGTTTCAACACCACCTCATGAGTGAAATTGGGTAGACAAAACTGTTCGAATAGCAGACGATGGTTGTGCTAGCACAAAGTTACAAGTCATCGTGACCGAGCTTATGATCGTACTGGCATTTTTCAAACAGTTGATATGCTCTCTCCCAGAAACCGTAACTAGGACCCGCTCAGCGTAGTTGCAGTATAAAACATAGGTGGGCCGCATGGGTGTTCAACAAACACAAATGTGCCTGGGAGGGGGTTTTCAACAGGGATTGGCTAGCCGCACTAACAGACGTGCGTTCTCGGAAACTAGCAACCTTATATACACGCACACATTTTTATTTTACACTAATATCCAGACAGGTAGGTAGGTAGATAATTGACACGTCAAATTTTTATCTGAAATATTAATTGTGTAATGTTCAAACTCTGTGATTAATATTTACTCTTGAATTAAGTACATTGACAATAAAAGAAGACTATGGTGAAAAATCTAAAATAAAAAAAATCATATTTGAAGCATCCTTAAACAGATGACTTATCTCCACGATAAAACAAAAACTAAAAATGAATCCCTTAATCCAGACACGCAACACTGGTACAGGCGACTTTCATTGATTACGAAATAAAAATAAATGCTTTATCCGCTGACTATTTTGTTGATCACTACCAGTAGACAACAAAATAGTCAGCTTAAAGTGATAAAGTTAACTAAAAAAAATCAACCATCGATAAAAGAAGGGACGAATTTGCTTCCTTTTCTGATAGTTTTTTTTTTTCAAGAAAAACAAAATAATTTAGTTGTTCATTTATTTGGCGCCATTCACATTCCTTAAGACCATCCCGTCACTCACGAAGAAAGGTTAAGTCATTTATATTTTACACATTTACCATGAAGAACAGGAAGGAAAAGGGAAAAAAAAAGAATTTCGCGGTCAGACACAAATAATTTGTAAGTGTCCTCAGAACCAAAAACAAGAACAAACTCCTTGTGAAAAGCAGGGCCGATGCGTACTAACCCCCGACTGGGGGGATGCACATTTTGAGGCCCTGGGACAGTGCTTTGTTAACCTCGCTATCTTATCAACATTTTTTTTTTTTTTTTATTTACCTACATCTATATTTGTTACAAATGAAACTAAACACAAATGACCATTAAAGGATTTTAAGAATTCTCGCATTTTGACGTCATTCTGGTTTGTTTTTCGTCCCAATCTGTGAATTGGTTTTGCTCAAGCTAAGTCTTCCCATCAATAACCCATATTTTTTTTGCTCTGTTACAAACATCAGCCGAATGGCAATTCTGCAAAATGGTGTGGGTCGTGTAAGTGCATTTAAAGCAGATGGGTGTCATCAATTTTTTGTATGCAGAAAAAAACACTGCATCTATGAACATTCATAGACGCTTCCTGGACATTTATGGAGACCAAATAGTAGATATGATCACAGGTAATGCGATTCATGAGTGGCAACAGCGATGTTATACAATTCTGAAATTTTGTTGAAACTAGCAAATTTTGAATTTTCACGTTAAACCTGTATATAAGACACTTGCCCTGTGTTTTCTATCTGGCAGAGTTATCTACCAGATAAAAAACTTATCACGCCACTAATCAATCACTTATCTATTCTTTATTTGTTTTCTCTGACTATAAAGGTAAATACAGATTGATAGCATAGTTTACCACAGAGAATCAACGGAGAAAAAACTTCAATGCCTTTCTTTCCCAACGAAGAACAATCATGACAAAATTCACAGATACTGAAATAAAAAAAAAAGCCATGGTTGTCGACGCGCTGATGGGACACTAAAAATATTTTTTTTTTTTTTTCACTAATTTTGTTTACTTTATACGCCTTGCAGTGGTGTAGTGGTTAATACAAGTCTCGCAGACTATTGTATTGCATACGAACCTCACTGAGTGCTCCATAAAATTATAATAAATACTGACTTGCTGACCCTTTAAGTCAGCGTGCAAACAAATTTTCAGTCATGTTTTATGACCTTAACTTTTTTAACTACTATTTTTGTATTTCATTTTATCCATAGTAAAATAATATATATATATAAAAAAAATGAACTAAAAAAATAGTAAGTTTAAAGTTTCGGGCTGTAAAATTAAAAATCCTCCTCAAGTTACATCCGATGAAGAGTTTCTTTTTCTGTCTTACTGTAGGATTTTTAAATAAATACTAAAATCCGTTTACTTTCTTGTGACTGGCCGACTATCTACACAACAAATATTATAAAATTTGAAAGACTAAACTAAACTTTAAGTAAAAAACTGAAAAATGTCCTGAACTGTCAAAGAAATTTATTTGAAAAATATTGGTATCATAAAAAGAAAAAAGAAAAAGAAAAATTTTCAAGGAAGTAAATTGTTTTTCGTTTTGATGAAATCACAAATAAATAATTAGTGGGTTTATTTCATTTTGGATATTTACTCTCGGGATGTAACGGATAAAGGCTCGGAATGAGAAATCGAAGAGCAGAGTTCGAATTCTAGTAGGGTTTGTTACATTAATTTAGGCGCAAATATCCTTAGGAAAAAAAAAAACGGCAGCCTACTGCGGGAAAATCTTCTGTCTATATAGTCAGTCATGAATCGAAAGAAAACGTGATTACCCAAGCGTGTATCACGTATGACACTTAATTGGTAGGGCTTTTGATAGGAATAAAATCATTTTCTAGAGAGTTCACTCTGACGCAGGGAAAAAAAAAAGAAAACACTAAAAAAAAAAAGAGAAAAAGGTATGAAAAGAAGCAAGCAGTTGAAAAAGATAAAAAGTAAAGTTCGCTTTTTTTTCTTTTACAATCAATAGAAACAAAGAAAAAGAAAAAACTTATGAGGAAGGAAAGAAAGAAGGAAGGAAGACAGGACAAGGAAGAAAGAAAGGAAATAAGGAAGAAAAAGGAAAGAGAGAAAAAGAAGGAAAGAGAAGGAAAAGAAAGAAAAAGGATAGAAAGAAAGAGAAAAGGGTATGTAAAAGAAAAAGCAGATTGAAAAGATAAATAAACTTTGCTTTATCCTTCCTTTTTACAAGCAAAAGAGAAAAACAAAAGAAAAAAGTACGAAGAAAGAAAAAGAAAGAAAGAAAGAAAGAGCAGGACAGGAGAAATATGACAGTGAAACAATAGCATATTTCAAATAACTCTTTCAATATACTTTTGATGGGATGATACCGAATGGAGGAAAGAGAAAAAGGAAATGAGCGTGTTAAGTATCTACAGAAAAGAAGTGTTCTACGGAGAAATATTTGTCCGTGCAAAAAGAGAGAGAGAGGGGATGATAGACGGGGAGGTCATCTGAAATATTTACCAGGACTGTGCTTTGAGCACTAAAAGCTTTTAAATAAGCTCATTCGAATGGCGCCACATACCATTTAAAATTCTAAAACAAATAAACTTATGGCTTCGCTCATCTTTTGTAGTCGGGCATTTTTTTTTAATGTTGGAGATGGGAGACAGAGGACAACCTTTCATAGAGATGACAACCACGATAAAACAATAAAAATACCAGACGAGGAATTGTTTTCAGAAACTTATATAGCAATGTTTTTTAAACTTTTAATTAACAACTGCGTGGCCATTGCTATGCAATGTTTCATCTTAATCCACAAAGCCGACATTAATCAATAATCAAAAAATTTGAATCAAGACAAGACATGTACATAAAGTCTCTCTTTCAAACTCAAGAAAGATACGCCATTTTCTTTTTTTTTTTTTTTAATAAGGTGACAGTCGTACTAGTAATCGGAACACTGGAACCGATCCCGATGAGCCTAGACAACAGGTTGGAGAAACTGGAAATCAAGTGAAGAATTAGAATCATTAGATGATTGACAGCATTATCGAAAACTGAATACTAAGAAGAAGTGTTGGCGTAATGAGGAAACTTGCTGTCACCTAGTCTCGACTGTAAGTCACCAGTAATAACTTTCCTTTTGACAAGTGACAGCGAAAGATGTTATGTATGTCTGCCCTTCTATTTTATCAATAACTGATGAGGGAGAAGAGATGGATTCATGCCTTTCCCAATGACATGAAATAATAAAAACGTTCTTAGCCGGAATTCGACCTCGATTTGCAGATTCCATTTTTAACCGTGAAATACTTAACACAAAAATTGGTTAAATTATGACAAAAATTTTTAAAAATAAATAAAAAGGTTTAAAAAATATACTTTTTAAGTTGATTGAGACAATTTGTTTAAATTCATTGCATATAGGATTTAAGGTCAATGAAAAAAAAACTATTTGAAACGAAAAAGTAAAATCGACGTTCGTCTCAGTGAGAAGAAAGGAGAGAAGAAAGCAAACGATGGAGAAAATAACCTCCAAAATTGAATGGAACTTGAAATGCAAGAAGCACTAAGTCTGTCAGTGTGTGACTAATCGTTAAACAACGACACTACAGGAAAAAAGAAAGAAAGAAACAAACGACATTCATGGTAAAGAATTTCTTAACTGTTGGAAATATCAACAGTCCTAAATTATCTGAATTTAGAGATGAGGTCTTTTCATTAGCATTCAAAAAATGTTCTTTTCAGTTATTGTTTGCTTTTTTTTGTCAAACCAAAAGGGCGTGGGATGTGAGATTAAGTGATCAGAAACTAGTTCTTTAATTTATATTTCGCGCCAATTATATCCGTAGGAAGATAAAAGTTGTAATTAGTAACAACAATACGATGAAGTACACTGATTATCAAGACTCATGTTTCTTTCTTTTTTCTCTCCTTACACACAGTCTCTTTCATCTTTTCACCCAGAAAAGATATTTTACTTATTTCTTGGTGCCAAGAACAACATTATTATTATTATTATTATTATTATTATTATTATACTACCTTGTTTAAATCGTTATGGTTGCTTTTTTCTATCACAACATTCTGGGTCGATACACTTTTTCGATATTCGAGAACATCAATAATCGTAAATAGAAGTAGCATTGATAATTGAATTGATGAAGGAAGACAGAAATCAAATACAGATTAATATTCAGCTCATCATCGAAGCTTCCACGACCAAAATGATTAATGTGACGTCCATGAAAGATGGCCATCCTGTGTTAGAGTTTCATTGGAAGTTTATTTTTGATTTCCCGGTGTTTGCTCTATCGGTGGAAGAGTTTATTGACCCAGAGTTTTGTGATCGAAAAAAGTAACAAAGACGTCTTAAGTAACAGAAAAAAATCTAACAGGAACGATCACGAACTGGCATCCTAAGGACAAAAATAACAATACTCAACACTCAACAGTCAACACATATCAGCCAAAAATAAAAGACGCCACCTGAAGATGACCAGAAGATACTTGGCTGAAATGTTGTTCTAATAATAATAATAATAATAGTAATAAAAATGCGAACAATAGCTTCAATAATTATTTTGTTTTTACAAGAAAATTTTAGATGGCCGAAGCGAAAATCATTTAAGCAGTGATGGAGAGATGTGTAATAACGAAATGGTGATTAAAAGGAAGTTCAAACCAGTAAGAACCAACGGAAGACAAGAACAATCATAGCAATGCAGTTTACAAATAGTTAAGAAAAAAGACTTTGTCGAGAGCCATTACCATGGGTATGAAAGAGAAAACTAAAAGTGGCATCAAGATATTCTCTGATGTCCGCAAATTTTTATTTATTTTTAATTTTTCTAATTTTGAAATCCCAATTATTAAATGAACAACGAATCATTATCAAAATTTTTATTAAATAGACATTTCTGATCTAGGATTAGTTGATTGAACTGTAAATCTACTGCTATTACATTTTTTTGAATGAGATTTTCCGAAATTATTCAAATAAATGTTTCAACTTTCAATTTATTTGAATTATACAAGTTTCTAATGTTCTGCTGTCACTAAATGAGAAGTCTCATCTCCCAAATTAACTTTTAGACACTTAAAGACAGAAAATATTTTAAATAAAAGAATGTAAATGAAGGAAGGATCCAGTCCGAATTTCGTTGACTTTTGGAAGCTCAAAGGTACTTTTTGAATTTAGAAACTTTTAGGGCTACTTCTTAAACTATGCTAACTTGATTAGTAATAAAAAGAAAGGTTCAAAATCTCAAGGTATTAGACTTGTGGTTCAATCAAAGAAGCCTGGATCAGAAACGCGCCTTGGAATATGCGATGAAGAGTTTCACTTCGTTCAGGAATTTTCTAATTTTCTGTAAGTCTTTCTCTTTGATGTTCTACTGTCACTAAAAGAGGGTCTGCTTATCTCCTAATTTCATTTTCAGACACCTAAAGACAAAAGGATGTGCAGGTGGTGTAATGTTTAGTGGCTTGGATCAAGAAATCGGTGAGCAGAGTTCGAATTTGGGTCGAGATTGTTATAATAATCACTTGGAAAAGTTATGAATCTATGTATTCTCCCTTCAGATGTGAGATGAATTAAATAGTAGGGTAAATTAGTCTCTCTAGCTGTTTGGAGACAATTCTGAATTCAAAAACCGTATGTGTCCCATATATTTGAACTGTAACTAAGGCTCGCTCATCATAGTTGAAGTAGGGACCACATGTTGCTTCTGTGGGTGTAAAAAAGAAACACAAACGGGCCTGAACAATAAAGCGAGCAGCCATGCTGAAGATAAGAAATCACACTGATTTACAGCGTGCCTTCAAGTCGAAATATCTCTGATGATGAAAGACAAAAGAAAATATTTAAAAAAAATAAATGAACGAATAAAATAGAGGCAAGACAATTTCAAGCATCTGTAGATGTTGATCACTCTAAAAATTAATCATTCCATAATTGTGTCATTAAATAATTTTTTTTCTGCCCTTTTGTTTACAACATGTTGGATTAACAGCTGTGTTAATAAAAAAAGAAATAAAATTCGCTATTTCGCCCAGTCACGCAATACTGGCCTAGTCCGCTCTGTTATTTTTATTTTTAAGTCATAGCTAGGAGAGAGAAGAGATGGATTCTTTTCTTTCTTGAGGGTATTTCTGAAGAAAAGAAAAAAAGGAATAACCTGTTCCAACTGAAATGTGAACGCAGCTCGCCGATTTCAAAATTCCATAAAATTTTTCTATTCTTCAGGACAGTTCGTGCTTCGGCCATTGGTATGCACGGTCAAATTTCAGTTGTTTGCACAATTTTTGCAGCTCATTGTTATCACTCAGTCATGCCCACCTTTTGTGTTCTTTTATAAGCAACCTTGCTATAAGTAAAACTTGAGCAAACAAAATTTGCCAGTCTGTTTTGCTTTTTGCCTTATCTATTTTGTTTTTGATACAATTTGTTCTTATTTATTCATATCTCATCAAATAGAACTATCAAATGCCTTACAATGAAGATTAATTGGCAGCAAGTCTTTTCTATACTCCAGCACTCTCTTCACAACTCTTATCATCTGAATGGTTCCAACTTTTTCTATAATTTCCAGTTTCTTTGGTAACGTTCCCGTGCTCTGGTAACAACTGGCACTAACGTCCTTCATGTTTCTATTTTTTTTTTTTTTTTTGGCTAAGCCGAGATATTTAAAAATTTTTTACTTACTTTTAGAACCTACTCTGCTCCCTCAGGTTAGCAAAACAAACAATTTGCGGTTTTCTTTTTTATATTGCTTTTGTTTTTTTAATCGGCTCTGTGAAATTCATCCCGAAGAAACTGAGATTAATTACTAAAAAAGAAATGTAGCCTTGATAATCTCATTGAATTGAATAAAAAAAAAAGAAAGAATGTGAATCAATGAAAATACTACAACCGAATAAAAAAATGAATACGGAAGGGGCGAAGAATGAAAACAGTCGTTCAAAAGTGAAATGTTACTCCGGTTCAAGTTGTTCAGTGATTGAGTATAAACTATCAAAAAAACGGAGGAGGAATAAAATGAAACGGAGAAAACTAAGGAAGCATGATTATTAGTCAAAATATTTAAACATTGTAAATCAGAAGGCTTCAGTAGACTGGTTTCTTTTCTTTTTTTTTAATTTCAGTAACCGGTTTCTATATTTCTTATGGTTGCCGCGTGACTAATTAATGTTTAATCAATATGTTTAAAAATTAAAAAACAAAGCCATGATGTTTTTTGAAATGATTTTAGTTACCATTTTAACCTAGTGAAAAATAATCAACAAAAATTAAAATATTAATTATAACACTAAAAAATGTAAGTCAAAATGTCATAAAACAAAACTAAAAGTAAACAAACCACTTTGGCGCTGCCAGATATATATTTATTTCACACAAAAGTATTTTTACAGTTTTAAAGTATCAGAATAAAAACCAACAACAAAGTTTTTACACTTACTTATAAATTTTATATAATGTTATAGTTTGCGATCAAGTTTTTTT